TCTAATTGTTCTAGTTTTGCTGGATCTTAAGCAGTAGTGAGGAACTGTTCAAAGATGTCGAGTATGCTAAAACCATCATGCTGGATGTAGCCAATGAACTTTTTAATGATCTTTCGAACAAAGACAAGAAAATCTAATGGATACAACACAAGCCTCTGATGGCAAAAACTGTTCATAATCGTATCATCATGTCGGCAAAGCAAGTGGAGGAAAAGTAAGTGAAGGACATAAAGGCAGCGCCATTCTTTTCCCTGACTTTGGATGAGTCGACAGATGTGTGTCATTCTGCAAATCCATGCAGCACCAGAAGTCACATTAATGCTGAGTATTATAACAAATGTTTTAAAAGAATAAATTCAGAGGCTTATTATACTGACTTTTAGTTGCATTCAGTCTTAAAATATATGATATGGCTCTCACTGAAATACATTTCGGTGAGAGAATCCATGTGTGTCCTCAGAGACGACAACAACCAGGAATACATAGAGGAGATGGAGCATCTGGTGGGCTGGTGCAAAGATAACAGCCGTATTGTGAACATGGAGAAGACAAAGGAGATCATCGTTGGGACGACCTAACTACTCTCCACTGCTCATCAACAGCTCAGCTGTAGAGGTGGTCAGCAGTACCAAATTCCTGGCGGTGCACATTACAGACAACCTCACCTGGACTGTAAACACCACCTCACTGGTCAAAAGGGTACAAAAGTGCTTCCTGCGGAGGACGAGGGCAGCCCCCCTGCCCCCACCGATCCTCACGACCTTCTACATTAGCACCATAGAGAGCATTCTGACCAGCTCTATTACTGTGAGAAGAGTGGTAAAAACAGCAGAGAGGATCGTCAGGGCCCCTCTTCCCTCCATATAAGACATTTCATTCTGGCGCTGCATGTCCAGAGCACATAACATCATTAATGTCCCCTCACATTCCCACCATGGAGTGTTCTTCCTGCTGCCCTCTATGAAGAGGCTTTGCAGCATGCGATGCAGGTCCAGCAGATTCTGGAACAGTTTCTTCCGCACCACCATCTGACTACTGAACTGTTGAAAAAATAATCTAAATCATGTCACAGACTCTGCATTACAACAAACCAAAAATACTGCATTTTGCACCTTATATATTTAACTTAAATTAAACTTTCATATCAACTCTGTTTTTGCACCATGTTTTTTCTCCCAAACTATTTACATTTGATCACTGCTGGACTTTATGGAATGGAAATGTTCATGTACTGTCTGAAAAAATTGTATTAAATGAAATTTCAATTTGTATACACTTTGTGTATACAACATTACAATAAAAATTGTTGTAAGTCCCTGGCCACTTGCCTTCTCTCACCAGCTCTTGTTTTCTTGATGGATATAAGGCAGCACCACCAAATCAGACAGATTTTGACAGGGAATGTTAGGAAGTTACAAGGAGTAATGGAAGATCCAAAAAAAAAAAAAAAACTGATCTGGGAGGCTGATGAACTGCTAAATGTTGTGGAGACAAGGCAATAGAAGAGAAAATATTGGCAGAATAAAAGCAAGTAGAGATTAAAACATAATTAAAACAAATAAAACAGTTGGACCACAAACTTAAATAAATGATGCCTCAGTTAACACTTTAACAGTCAAACTCAGTTCTAAACAAAGGTTTTAAACTTTGACTTAAAATAACTCAAGCTTTTAGCACATTTACTGTGTTCTGGACATTTGTTCCAGATAACTGAAGCATAGGAACTTGCTCCATGTTTGGTTCTAGTTCTGGGTGTACAGACAGTGTTGTGCTAGTTACTGAAAAGCAGTAACTAGTTTCT